TAGCACTGGCATTTTATAAACAAGAAATAATACATCTGCAAGATAGCAAAACAGTTTTAAGTCAGATCTCAGTAAAATAATTTTTTTTAAAAACCATGGTTATAATAAAAATATATCTTCAAATTAATACTTCATTTACCCATCTTTTTAAGTTTCTCTCTACATCTCATTCACTATGCCACTTACTGGGTCATTATTTCAGAGAGCATGCATAAGAAGAGAGTAAACACAGTTTGTCAAAATTCTTCACCAAATAAAAATACAGAAGAAAGATCGAAGTAATTAGAACATCCAACATCAATAAAGGTACAACTTGTGCCTCCTGAAAGACTGTGCACTTCCAGAGTGGAACATCATCAAACAAATATGAACCTACAAAGAGGCAGAATGCAGACCCAAGGTAGTACAGGATTTGGGATACGCAAAGTATGGACTTGATCTGTTTCAAATATCCTTGCGGATTTTTGTCTAACATCTAAAAACCAGCAGCTTCCTCTTAGTTTTTAAATCCTATACCCACCATTATTCCGCACAATGTAAAGAAATAGTTCATTTACTTACTGCAAAAGAGCTGAGTAAATGGTTATATATTGTGCATATATATACACATAAATAGCTAGATTTAGTGTGATAATCTACTAGTGAGTTTGGTTTTTTTAGTGTATTACAAATTCAATGAATAAAATTCTAGAGAGACTGCATGACCTCAGTTCAGCAGATATATTAACTGAATCACTGGAGTGAAGATAAGAATTGTCAGATGCAATTGGACATTTATGGACTGAGTAAGCTAGCATTTGTAGCTGCAAGCTGAAGAAATCATGAGTTGCATATAATGAGTATTTTAAAATGTCCCGTGTAGTGTACAGCAGTATGCTGCAACCTGATATCTTACCAATACATTAATAAGGAAAGATAGAAATCAAAACCAAGGATTTGAAATCCGAAAAATCAGGTAGAAAATTCAAATGCAAGGACATCTTCAGTATATAGATGTTGCAGTGTAATGCCAAAATCCAGACCTCTTTGTAGTGGGTGTCCTTTCTACCTTCTTGCCAGCAGCAGAAAATATTGCAAACTTATGTAAAAAGTTCGCAATATTTCCAAATATTTGCAAAACAAGTAAAAAGGAGGCAGTGACTTAGCATCCATAAGAGTCAGCAATGGAATGTTGGCATGCACAGAAGCCTAAGATCTGGCTTCCAAGGTAGCTTTTATGATGTCATGGGGGATTTGCACTGTATCTCTGAAGTACTATACTACATTTCTAAAAGAAAGGGCTATCTAAAACCTCTGCTTTTACATCAGCAGTTGGCAAAACAGAACAAAGAAGGATCATTTAAAAATATGAACTTTCCTATAGAAATGTATATTGTAATATACTAATACATCACGCTAACCTGTTACTCCATCTTGGTGCTGCGTCTTGAGCAAGGTATGGCAGTAATTACTTATGATGGTATCATCAAACACGCTGCTGAAATCAGAACCTCCTGGAGTAGGTCCTGGATGATTTAAATTAGAAGAAGTCAAGAAGTAACAGCTTCCTAATCAGCAGTTTTCTTCTAACAAGATACTTAGATTAATATAAGAACAATTACTTTCACTCTCCATCTCCTACTAGACTGTTGTAATGTTGGATAAATAGAATTTAATGAGATCACCTTATGCTAAATTGATTTTTCTACTCTACAGAGCAAAGTGCTTTTCAGTTCAGAACTCAGCGGTACATGCAGTGAAGTTATCGTGGTCAAAATAATACATTCAGTATATGGGATGTGAAGACATGCACAATATATTGATTTACCCTGAAATTCTTATATAAAGTTCTATATTCAGGTTCCTGAAATGAATGTTTCATACCCTGCAATAAATTATTTTTTTCCCCTTTTCGGTGGAGTATTTTTCAGCAACAGACACGCTCTTTTTAGAAATCACATATATCCTCATAGGACAGATAAAGTCATTCTATGCTGAGCTGGAGTCAGGACCTACCAAATCTAATACATCCTTTGAATCAAATTTATGATCTACTAAATCATATTGGTATTATGTATATTGAAAGCTCAAGTGATGAATCACCAGCTAAATCAGATTGCAAATACATGACAATATAGTATTTATTAAAATGGCTCAGTGATTTGTTTTAGTTGTCAGAACTTAATACGTCAACTTCTGAAAAACTCTTAAAAAAAAAATTGCAGGGATTTTTCAGAAAGGAAAAAGACATCATGTAAAAATGAGCTAGGAAAAGTCAATCTCTGCATGCATCTGCAGAACAAGGTGTCACATGCTGTTGTTTTGTGGAAGTGCTCGAGCAGGGCTTTCAAAGAAGTGCAAACACTCTGCTGACAGTCACCTCTAGGCAGTTGTCTGGGATTTTACATTTACATTAGGCGGTGTGGTTTAACCCAGCAGCAGCTCAGCACCACACAGCCATTCGCTCACTCCCCCCCTATCTATCTACACACACTCAATGCAGTTACTCACCTCACACCAACTGACACCCTGCTACCAACCGTCCCATCACCTGCCACCTGAGGCCCAGCCAATCCCAGCACAGCAGCCAGCTCCTATCTACTTCTTTTATAATTTGCTGATAGCCACCGTTTTGAATGTTCTGTTTATTTCATTTGGGGGGTTTGTTTTGCTTTTCAATTTTTGTTTTGTTAATCTGAGATGCATTTTTTTTTTTTCTGATAGCTGAGGGAAAATTCGTATTTACATTGCAAAGAAACTGAATCCCTCTGTAAAAAATGTAACATGAAATATTTCATCAAATTACTCAGTCATGGGGTGGATCAAACTATTATTCTGAAGACTTTATATTTTTCAGTTTTAATCTGTGTTTTATAAGTTTTTAATACACCATAGGAGTCTGTGTCACATTTTCAGAAGTCAGTTAGGTGTTCCATCAGCTGTCAATAACATTTGGTCTTGTTCATCACATTTTAAATTACAACATACCTCACATATGGGGTAAAATTTTCTTAGTTATCCATTTTTATCATATTTACTACCTAATACTTAAATGAATTGGAACATCTTCTACTATTCATTTGATATACTTCACTATTTTTTAATGCTAGATTATACATTTCTGAATTAACATCCAAATCCTCAAAAGTAGCATACCCTTGATAAAAACAAACAGGATGCTTTGAGATACAGCTAAGTGATAACACAGTTGCTGTTATTGCATGGTATGATACACAGTATTCAGCGAACAGTGTAGTGATGAATTCATAAAAGTGACAAAAAGACAGTTATTAGTGTATTTTTCACTGTTCATTTTTCGTTTGCTTGTTTTGTTTCTCTGTTGCTTTCTTTTATATCAGATTAGAGATTTTTTAAGGTGAAATTATAAACAAAATTGCATAGGAAATAGCAACCCTGGCTCAAAAGAAATCTAATGTAAATCATAATTTGTTATTAGATTACCCTCAGCATAACTCATCCGACCACCTTTATATGGTGCTGTTTAAGAATTCTATAACATAGATAAATTAAAACACATTTAGCTGAGATGCAAGTCTGTGTTTGCAAAGGAGTCCTTCTGCGACCTTGCCAAGTTTACAGAGTGTGCCAATAACAGCTCGGATTAGAAAACTCACTGATTAAAATTTTGCTCACTAGGATAAAACACTTGAAATGAATCATCTCATTTTCCAGTATGTCCTCGGGTTGCTGCAGGCACAATAAATTACAGTCATATAATAGCAAACAACTGTAAAAAATTAGAGTTAATACATTTCACATATAACGTAGCACCTGTTTTTGAAACTCTGAATTGTCTTAATTTTTTATGTTCATATATAATGAAATATGGTCAGTACTTTTCAGTGTGGAAATGCAGAACCATCAGTTTGTTTGTTGTCTAAAATATATAGAACTGAAACCTTTCCACTGACTTAATCGGTAGACTAACTTTATCTGCACGTTACTAATTAACTTCAAATGCTATCTCTAATATCTCCACAAATAACGCTCTTGCAGAATGCAGAACATGCTGGGTATAACCTTGTGCTCCAGTGAAATGATCAGAATATAAATAGAAAACAGCAACATGCCATTGCAGTGGAAAATAATCAGCAAAAGTAGTAATGGAACTAATGCTTGCCAAAGCCTTGAACGTGGTGGCAAGAATGCAATCCATCATGCAGCTGTTTGTCATTTCTGCAAGGGGTTCCAAGCAACAAAGGTTCACCTGAGGCAAATCTCCTAGGTGACCCCTCTAGTAAATGCAGAGATGTAGGCTCCTCCACAGGAAGACTGAGCTAGCTGATCCAGTTGCCTTCAGAAGAAGCCCATTTACTCCACCTACTGTAAAGACAGCCCGTGCAGTCACTCAGCTCTGGGGTAAAAGCCTATTATTTGCACAGGTGTTACACAGAACTCTACTTTTCTATCTGAGCAAATAGATAACATCTGACTTTTTTTTTATGATACAGCCCTAAACTTTTAGCAAGATACTGAAGGAGATAATCCAGCAAGTTTGGTGGTTCACTGTGACCAGCACAATGCTCTATTTTAATGCCCTTTTATTTTATCTGTTTTAACTACATGCTGCAGTACTTTCAGAAAGTTTCAGAGAGGATCATTACAGATGGTCTTATAAAGACATCAAAAACCCCATCGTATCTCCTTAAATAAGTCGTCTTTTTGTCTTTTTTTCTATTCATCTCATGCCAGAAGTAAACTGTCCTGCAATTGCTGAAAGGTACTGAAGCTACATTTTGCACTTTGTGCATTAATCAGATTTGAAAACACTTGAGTACACATACACATCAAAATGCCAGCTATCAGGCAAATTGGGTAAATGCCAAACTTAAAGAGAAAATATAAAAATGAAAGCACTGCTGCAGTTCTAATTGCTCTCAAAATTTATGTCAGGCTTTTGAACTGGATTTCAAAGCAAATGGGCACTCTTAAAATGATTATCATCTTTCATCATCGTTTCAAATCCTAAAAGGCAGCTTGCATTCTTCAGGATATCCTACCTTTCCCCTACTCTGCGATCTGGGTACTGTTACGTGACCGAGGCAGCTGCCTATCATGAAGTACTCCATCACCATTCCCAGAAATGACTGTGAAGGAGAAAATTAAATTACACAAGTGATCATGCTGAAAACTAACAAGACACATTCTGAAATTAAAATAGGACAAATTCGAAACAATTTGAAATTCCAAACCTCCATTCAATGTGTAGACCTAAATCACAGTTCACTTCTCAATTGTTCTATTCATTTTCTAAATGAGGTGCGAACTAGAATTTTTAAACACAGACTGAGATTCACTGCAGTGTGTTTCCAATCTTTGTGTTTGTTTTCAAGTCCACAACATCATTATTTCATTGTATGTTTTAATATGTCTCAATTTCTTAAAAGGTGCACTAGAATTTTTTAGAAGAAAACTGAGACTAAAAGACTTTTTGTTCCTTTTTCTCCTTTTTTTTTTTTTTTTTTTTTTAAGGAAACTATTTTACTGATCCAAGCAATTTACAATCTCAAGAGCATTTTCTGTAAAATACATGTTCAAAAAAATCACGTAATTTTAAGAATGATTTTCAGAGAAACTCTTAGAACACAAGTCTGTTTTCTTAAACATTTTCTGAATCGTGGTTTTACTTGTGAGATTTTTCTTATATTAAGATTACAACGTTAATAAAATGTCAGTGCATGGCCAATTGTGTTAGGATCACAACCACACAAATACTAGAAGGTAAAAACTGGCTATTGAAAATATCTCATTTTTCATACTACAAGTATCATCCTTCATCTTAAAACTGTCTGCCACCGCTAACTGCAGACAAATATGAAATTAATCCTTAACAACCGTTTATGCAACTACTAATAAGGTAAAAAACTTATTACCTTTAAAATGATACATTGAAGAAAAAAGCTCTTTTTCTGAGTTCGCTCTATATTAGCCTTAACATTTTGTGCACTACTGTACAGATGACAGACAAAATATTTCCTCAGAAAATAACACAAGGCAGACAATAATGTTTCTGAAAGAGATTTCTTATATTCATGGAAATTAATGAATTTATAAATGAGTGATGAGATGACAGATTATTTTCAAGAATATTTCTCTATTCCTTTGATATTACTGCTGCCCCGAAGTAGAGGTTTGCTCTAAGAATGTTATGATATGCTTTAACTGTACAAAAACTGCACAGTTAAAATATCAGTTCAGTCCTTGTGAACAAGTAATGCTTTCTACATCCACTAGAAAGATAAATATATTAACAAAAGCTCAGACTTTGGAAAGGATCTGAAGAATTATATGGAAAAAATTTTTGCTGTGCACATAAAGTGCATTCACTTTAACTTCTCATTCACGAAAGCATCCTTATTCAGGAAAATATTTAAGCACTTACTTGACTTTAAACACATGTTTTGGGCCCGGTGAAGCAAATGAGATTTAATCACATTCCAAATAATGATGGATATAAAGCCAAAAGATATTAACATGAATGGTTTTTGGATCCAGGCTTTACATTTTTCAAGTCTTAAATATACACATACAGACATGTACATACACATATACATACACCCCCGCACAGACACACGCACAGAAAGAATCTGTCTCTAAACTAAGCCAAAATATGAGAATCTAGAATTGAAAAGATTATGTGTTAGGAAACCGAAATTAAATTGAAAATGCAGACTTGAAATACAGTGGCTGCTTCATCTTGCTGGTTTCTTGAAACTGAAGTTTATTTCCTCTGAAGTAAACAATTACAAAAGCCTAAGCATTTCCTGTCTAGAATCTTCCCTTCTACACTCCTACCTCAAGTTTTCATCTCACAGAAAAGAAATGTTTTGGTTCTAACAAAAAAGAGGTTTACAGAGCTTTTTTCTCACATTCTGATGCCTGGAACAAGAAACTACTTCTCGTCTGAAGAGATTAACCTCTGGATAAGAAGCTGATGTTGGCAGAAGCATGGACTTTGCATCACAGCTTGCTTTATGGGTATTTTTTTTTTTACAAGAGGTACTAAAATACAAATTTATGTTTTAAAACAGTATGATAAAAAGTTACAACTAGTTTAGTCATTAATTACTCAATCATTTATTAGAGTAAACAATCACTAGTTTTTTGAGATGGAAAAAAAAGGGATTTCTCCTCATTTTATACCTCAAAGACGATTTTTAGAATCAATTGCTCAAAAGAATCAACCTTCATTGGAGCTGTGTAGCACAATAACATCCTTCTTGAGGAGTTCACTTAAATTGCATTTAATGTCTTTGTAAAGCTTAATAATAACTGAAGCTACAAGACTTACCTCCTAAAACACAGTACTCTGGGATGCCAGGCTAGGCCTGATTAAGCATTTATAGACAGACTGCAACTATGGCAAGTAGTACAAGCATGAGATTTTTTTTTTCTTATCTGTGGCAGAAGATTCCATGTCCAGTAAGTAGGAAGTTCAGGATTCTTCTTTAAAAGTCTTTTTGTATTTTGTTTATGGTTGCTTTTGAGCTAGAATACCGTATCAGTCATGTTGTAAGAACAGCACGAGAATGAAATATTAAAAGTCTTGAGGTCAAGTTTGATAATTCTTTCTGTGCTTCCATCAGACAGAAGATGATCTTGTGTCACTAATCAGTCTTTAAATGGAGCACAGATGAAAAGCTGATCCTGCAATCTATTCTAATTTCAGTAAGCTCTGCAACCCACATGATCTACTTCATTTTTTTCAGTTCTCTCCCCCATCCCACTGGGAAGGCAGGGAGCGAGCAAAGAAATGCGTTGTACTTAGCCACCTACTGGGTTAAACCACAACATTTACATTTTCATCATCATACAGACCCAAGTAAATCATTACTGTCTTATTTGCAAAGCTTCTAAGTTCTGAAAACAGTACAGCCTTTCAAGTTAGGAACTGAGAATACAGCAAAAACATAGCTGAAAGCTATCTAAAGGGCATCCTATACAAAACACAGAGAAGATGCGACTATGTGACTAAATTCAGATATTACACGCAACAATATATATATATTTTTATCAACCTTGGATTCAAAAGCTGTGCAACTCTCATTGCTTGAAAATAGCAGTGCTACTCTATGGTCTGAGATGGCTTCTGGAGATATGAAAGACTTTCTTGTTTTTATTAACTATGATAACTCCTAATAAGCAAAATGTATCAAACTTTCACCTGTCAAGGATGTTCTGTTAAGATGAACATTACAAAACTCTTCTGGAAAGAAAAAAGGATTGTACATGAGACAAGAACAAAAAACAAGAGGAAATCAGCACTTTAGATAGAAATTAAAAATGTGGTTTCTGACTGCACAGTGATTTGAACCTTTATACCAATGACTGATAAATTTTGCAATCTAAAACCAGATACTGTTGGAATTTTAGGAATCATTTTTATGACTGATGACTCCATTTCATTTGATATTGAATTTGATTGGTTTTATTTGATAGCTGCTTCTCTGCATTCCTTATGGAAGCATGACCACATTAGTGCTTGAAATATGTTTTGTTATTATTGAATAACATTAGTTACTCCTCCAACATTTTACTATATTGGTATGACTCCAATGCACTTAAGCACAAGGAATCCAGGTTTCTCTTTTTCTTTTTCTTTTTTCTTTTTTTCTTTCTCCTCCATAGAAAATGTGTTTCTCTACTAGGGAACACAGAACTTTTACTAAATCTTTCATTTCTAATTCCTATCACATGCATTACTCAAACGGGGCAGCAGAGAAGCTGTACAACATACAGCCCATAGCCAGCTGAGATACTTAAACTGACAAGCACAAAGACTCCAAGAGCATAAAGGAGGATTTCCACTTGGAGGATCAGTTATCATTCCTCTGTTTCCCAGAAATATAACTATATATAAGTAGAGAATTTTACAGCTTCCCCAATTTAAAAATTACTCTACTTTCCCACCATTCTACTATCTCAGACATCTTTGATTTGGTTTTTTTTTTTTTTTTTTTTTTTTTTTTTTTTTTTTTTTTTTTTTTTTTGGAGGAGGGAGGGGTGTGGTGGTTAGGAGTGATCAAATTACTCTACAGACTATGACTGCTAAATGAATTCAAAATATTTTAAGGAAACCATAAGTACCATAAATACTCCTTGAAGAGTTGCAGTCTTAGTAAAAGTTTCTCTGAAAATATTCTCAGTATTCCCTAAATTAAAGTTTCAGGAACTTTTTATTATAACTTTCCGTTTTTTATTTTGATACAGGGTATAAGGACAGGCCAGTTTTGATCAGCTTAAAGATAGCCAAATGTTGCTTCCTATAACTAAATCTCGCCATCACAACCACATATGTTTAGACCCTCAAAAAACAACTAGGAACTGAATAAATACCATTCTACCTCTCATCATCTCAGCTTGCACACCTCCTAAAAAAAAATCTCAATTCATCAAGACTTTTTTCTACCTGTTCTGCATTTCAAACTGGAATTTAACCTCAAAACAGCTAGGTCCAAGCAAAATATCCCCTTACCCACACTAATAATGTTCTGCAGTGGTTTATATCATTTTATTTGCATTGTTTTCATTTCAGCTCCACTACTCTCAGTGCATACTTCAGATTTCAAGAGCCAAGAATTGTCCAAGTACAGGACATACTTGAAAAAAATAAAATAAAATGAAAAAAATAATAAGAAAAGTGCAGCATCATAATCTTTTATGCATTATGACAACTGGATAAAAGAGGATTCTCTGTGCTTTGAATGCAGATCTATTGAGATCTGATGCTAATCATCCACAACTGGTGTCCTTGATCAAAATATTAATAGTATTTCCTGCCCTCTCCAGTTTGGAAGCAGCTGATGGTAAAATACATTTCAACTTTTTGCTGCATTTATGTACAGCAAAGAACACAGAATATTTGAGCTCAGTGAGGGCAAGAACTTGAACATATTGTAAATGCCTTGAAAATTGGGTGCCCTGAGCCTACCAGTTGAGCACTTGGAAGGATTATTAAAAACCTCAACTCACAATCTCTTAATTACTTGGCTCATTCCACTGTTTGGTAGGAGCCACAGATCCCTGAGAGAGAAAGAAATAGAAAGTGCTCAGACTTATAGGAAAGAAAATAATTCAACAATAGCAT